CAGGCCGCCGGTGCCTCTATTAGTCCCCCGTGGATCCGGAGCCCCATAACCCCCGTTGTTCTGTGGGGCGGGATCGTGGTGACCGACCCACGCTGAGGCGCACCCCTCAGGGAGCCCGCGGGCAGGCAGCGGGGGAAGCCGGCCCTTGAGACCGCTCTCAAAAGCCGCTCTGACATAGTCCGGCCTGACGGGGATCGGCGCGGCACCGCGGGGCGACGAGGAAGGCAGTGAAATGGCAGTCGTGGCCCTGTTGGATCTCCCACGGGAGCGTCCCAGGAGCTTTCACGCCTGATGACCTTTTAGGAGATTTCGAGCCTTTTTTGCATAAGTTTATAACATTCCTGTATTATAAGCGTGATTGGGTAAAAGTGTAGCTTCTGGTATTTTGGCTTTTTCCAGCCAGGGAGGACAGCCTGTTGTCTATACTGACACCTGCGTCCTCCCTGTCCTGGCTCCTGGTGTGTCCCTGCTGTGCAGCTCCACACCCTGGAGACACATTCTCTGTCAAGGTGATGGACCATGGCTTGGTGAACATCTTTGAGGCAGTACCAGCTTTTTCTTGTTAGTCCTGCCTTCATTTGCATGGTGGAGTGGGTCACAGAGCTGCTCTGATGGGAAAAAAAAGATTTGGCCAAAGACAAAGGTTATCTTGACTGGGAGTTTTTGTTTATCTAAACCAGCGCACTGTGCCAGTGGTGGGACTGCTGTGCTGGGGAGTGAGCTCCTCCGGTGAGGCTCTAATCATGTTCGTGCTTTCAGTTCTCCTTCCAGGAAAACGGCTGGGGGGCATCCCTTGCTGAGAGACTGGTCAGGTAAGAGCTTACAATTTGAAAGTATTTTTTTTTTAGTGGTGCAGCTTTTCTAAAGAATACCAACACAAGTTAATATTTAATGTATATTTGTTAATGTTTATTTATCAAAGTGGAACTGCCTCAGTGGTCACCTGCCCAGTACTGATGGAAATACTCATTGGGTGTGTCTTTCCACTAAAGCTTGAGAAGGAAATCCTTACTGATTGTCAAGATAGTTTGTTTCGTGGTTTAAGTGACGGGTAAATACCACACGTGGAGGCAGTGGGTGCACTTCCAAACATGACATTATCCCAGCTAAAACTCCTGTGACGTCTCATGGTTGCTGAACAGGACAGGGGGAGGTATCCTGATGGAATGTGGTACCCATCCAGAAATTGCCACGTTCTGTTGTGGCGGGCAGGAGAGGTGTTCATTTTGATCGTGTCTCTGTTTCAGGAAATGCGATGTTGTGAACCGTGGGCTCTCGGGGTACAACACCAGATGGGCCAAGCTGATCCTTCCAAGACTGATCAGCAAAAGCACCGGTGCTGAGAGCACTGTTGCAGTTACTATTTTCTTTGGGGCCAATGACAGTGCCCTGAAAGGTATGGGAGCTTGCATTTTTGCTGTGATCTGTTCTCTTAAGACAGCTTTACGGTTTAGTGGAAAAGACGCAGACTTTTCCTGCTGCTTCTCTGTGAAGAAATGAAGCTTTGGTCTTGGGCTTTGGGCACTCCAATGGAGGCTTCGAGCTATAAAAGAGGGGTTTGGACCCCCAAAAGGAGCATTTAGGCCTTCAAAGTGAGGCTTTGGGCCTTAAAAATGGGGCTTTGCAAATGGAATTGAGGCTTTGAACCTTGAAATGAGGCTTTGTGCCCTCCAATGATGCTTTGGTGCCAAAAACTAAGGCTTTGCATCCTAAAAATATCTCTTTGGACTCTCAAAATGAGGCTTTGGACATGAAACATGAGGCTTTGTACTCTAAATGAGGAGTATTGTTTTCATTTTGACAGTGGATTGTTTTCTGTCATGTTATTTGTGTTAAAACCATGTAGTGCCTTCTGTTTCTCTCACCACATTTTAATATTAGAAGCACATTTCAGGGTGCTCAGGAGTTAGTTGTATATCCATCTCCTAAAATTGGAGCTGGGCATCTGCCTGATTTTTCTGCCTTTAAAGCAGTCTGATGAGTTCTTGGCAGATGGGTTGAGGAAATGAGGGAAGGTGGTATTTGGCTTCTCTTACAGATGAGTGTAAGGGCGCGCAGAGCCGGTATAATCAGAATGGTATCATCAGTGCATGAAGGACTGACTGCAGCCATTGGAATTTCCAAAACTTTCTCTGCATCCAAGAAAGTCAAAAATCTTAGTTTTTGTTTCAGGTGAGGTGTGTGTTGATTACAAGATCTAATACTAAGGTATGGAGCAGTAAGAAAAAGCATCTTAAAAAAAAGGTGATTTTTTTCGTCTCCCTCCTTTGTGCCTTATTTGTATTAATTCGAAGTGCTGCATTTAACCTCTTGATTTGTCTGCTTTGGATATTGAGGAACGGCATTTTCGTACCACACCTCCTGAATCAATGGTTGAGGTGAGCTGCTTACTGAGGACATCTGCCCATGTTCATACGCTGTGTGAAAATCACGTTACGTTGTGTAATAAATCCGTGAGCAGTTTAACATCACTAACACACGTGCTCCATCCCCTGGCAGACCTGAACCCGCAGCAACACGTTCCTCTGGAGGAGTACGCTGCCAACCTGAAGAGCATGATTCAGTATCTGAAGTCAGTAGACATCGCTGAAGACCGGATTATTTTGATAACGCCACCGCCACTTCAGGAATCAGCTTGGGAACAGGCGTGTGTGGCCAAAGGTAACAGGCGATGCGGGGAGGCAGAATTTCTGCTCTCTACCAGCAGAGTGAGTTACCCATCCCAGGCTGGCAGGGGATCAGCTTCGTGCTTCTGCTGGATTGCAGTCGTGCTCCTTGAGTTGAGGGAAAAGGACTGATGGCTGTTAGACAACTTTTGGATAAGCTTGTGGCACAACTACCAACTAATTAATAATGTCCTTTTGAAAGCACTGCTTGGTCAACGCATCAGTCTGACAGAAGTGGCTGCCTTTTGAGAACACAGGTTTTGCTGAGACGCGCTAGGCAGACTATGTCATGCCCTAACAGCTTCCAAACTAACTTGAATAATGGAAGAAATTTCGCATTGTGTGCCACAGAAAATTTTATAATGGTCACAGCATATTTCACGTGTATTTGGATAAGCAATAATGTCCTGGCCAGGTTTATTTTAAATTAAAAAAAAAAACAAAACAGAGAATATAATATTCTAAGGGTGCTAGGAACCTGAAAAGGAAGCAAAAGATGATTAAATGATTTCTCATTATGTTGTTGAAGGCAACTCTAAAAATAGAGACGTAACAGCACTGCCTTCATGGTGTTACTCAGCTGGTGGAGCTTGCTGTAATCCCACTGACTGCAGCAGTGCAGTTGGTACCTCTTGAGAGTATCTCCTTGCTCCCATTTGGACAACTTGTCCAGTTCTTGCACATTTATAAAAGAGTTTTGAGTTAGATTCAGGTAAGCACAGAGCTGTCACCTTAGTAATTGCAAGGCTGTCTCCAGTTTAGGTGGGATTACTGTCTAGGGATGGATTGACAGACAGGGTGATCTCAGACCGTGGACCACAGATAAAGTCCTGTGGGCACAGTAAGCAGCAATATCAGATCGTCTGCCCTCAGCCAGTATCCAGGAGAAATGTTCTGCTTGCTTCTAGTTTGTCAGCTATCGGAGCAAAGGAGAGATGTGAAAGACGAGGATGTTGATGTTCACAGGAGCATTCATCCAGGTGTGAAAAGAGGCGTGAAAGGAAACACAGCTTCCAAAGGGAGTGCTGTGGGAGACAGAGTCAGAGCCCTTCCTAAAGTCGGAGCTGCTCTTCGTCACCCGTGTGGCCATCGTTTCATCGCAGAAGGCAGTTGGGTTGGTCAGGCACTGTCTGGCTTTGCTAAATTTGTGTTGATAGTTCCTTCTTGTCCCTCATGTGTTTGGAAATGAGTCCCAAGAGGAGGTAACCCCACTACCTTTCCCAGCACTGAGGTGAGGCTCAGGGATTGACAGCTTCCCAGGTCCTTTTTGTTGCCTTTCTTAAAAATGGGTGTAATGTTAACCTCCTTCCAGTCACCCTGGGTCTCCTGTTAGCTACGAATTTTTGTAGGTGGTGGGCACTGACCTCACCAGTGCAACAGAGACAGCTCCTTTGGGTCAGTCCCACATTCCCTACCCCATTGCTCCCCACTGCTCTCCTTCCCAAGCTGCGTGGGTGCGTGCAGATTGGGATATATCGCTAGGTCCCTCCTTGGTCCCTCAGGAGACCCACGCATTCCCTGAGCGTCCCCGTGTGTTTGTGGACTTCCAGGACGGATGAGGAGACGAAACAGTCAAGAGGGGATCCCAACAGTGAAAGTGAATAAGAAATAATCCACTCTGCTAGATGAGAAGGCATAGAAAGGGAGAGGGACAGCACTGCAGGACCTCGCCTGAGGCTGGGACCAATACAGGGAACTTGGCCACAAAGTCAGCTCTGCATGGCGGAGGCTGAATGAGCTGAGGGGAACACGGTCTGTAGGGCAGCTGAACCGGAAAGAGAGTTGAAGAAGTCAAGAGTCAGGAAATGTAGGGTGGTGGGGAAGGACTCGTGAGGCTGCTGTGGATATTGCTATCATGAAAAGAAATGGGAGAAAAGAGGTGGCAGTGTGAGGAAGTGGGAATCATCAGATGCATCAGGTGCAAGGAGGGAGTAGAGTAGGAGTTGATGAGTTGGATTATAGATCCCATTAAAAATAAAAAACATAATTTAATAATATCCTGCCCCAAAGTTTCACTGTGGTCTGTGCAGAACTGCTGGCTTACAGTAGCTGGCACCGAGCATGCACTGAACGTCCAGCTCCCCGTGTAACTGCACACAGATGTGGCAGTCGCAAGTGCTAATACAGCTTTGCACCTAAACGTACCCTGGCTTCACCAGCGCGTTACAACACGGAGACTGCTGCAAGGAGATGTTAAACGTCGGGTGTCATCCAGGAAGCAGAAGGCAAGCTTGTCAATAGACTGACATTTACATAACTCCATTTACGTGCCACTAGCAGGAGTATGAAGAGTTCTAAACCTATGCCCTGATTTCACCTGAAGCTTGCCAGAAGGTGAAAGCTGTGAGCGGCACAGAGATGAGCGCTGTGCTGTGTGCTTGTTGCTGTTGTCTCTCTCACCTGTTACACATGTTAGCAAGAAACTTTCAAATGCCTCAGAAACAAAAGGTGCCTTGAAAGAGACTAGACGAGCTATAGCTGCCAGCCACTTGAATTGAGGTGCTTTGGATTTAGTTGTAACTGGTTGTGTCTGCTGGTTTAACAGACTGATGTACAGCGTGTGTAGCACAGAAGACAGGCATCAAGCTGTATCAGTTGCAGTTGCTCTGTTTTCTTCGTTTCTGATTGACAGGTGAGAAATTGAATCGCTGCAATGCCACCACCGGGGAATACGCCCAGGCCTGCGTTCAGGTGGCCAGGGACTGTGGAACGGATGTACTCGACCTCTGGACACTGATGCAAAAAAATCAGGTACGATGTCAGGAAAAAGACTGTGAAACTGTAGTGAACTGTGAAATGCATAAATTTAGCACAGAGGAACCGGTAGTGCTGCATCATCACTGAAATGATACCAAATATATCCAAATTATTTGGGAAGAAAAATATAATCCAGAATGCTTCACAGTGGGCTATGAGAAATAAAACTTAATACAACCTTGCCATTATATTTATTTGGTGAGCAGATGTTCCCTGGGTGCATTACATGTAAAAGCCTTTTCCTTGGGCTTTGACTCAGAATAGTTTAGGTTGGAAGGGGCCTCAGAAGGCACTTTGTCCAACCCACTGCAACCGCACAGCGCTGGGCTAACTTCAGTTAGATCAGGTTGCTGGGCACCTTGCTGATGCTTCTGACCAAATACCCAAATTCATCCCTGTGACAGAGACCACAGACTTTCCAGAAGCAGATAACTCCAGTTTGGACACTGAATCTTTTCTCTCTCGTGCACTCACCAGTGCAGTAGTGTTCAGTAGTGCAACATGCAGCAGTCTCAGTTGTTTGCATCACTTAATCTCATGATCATTTCCTGATGAATAGCAGTGACTTTGGCCATCAGAACATGGTCTTGATATTACTACAAAGGGTTTGAAAAACTTAAGAATTTCACAAGGCCTTCTGTTTGCAACTAGCAAATACATTAACACATGTATTAACTCCCCTGTAGGATTTCTCTTCTTATTTGTCTGATGGGCTCCATTTATCAACAAAAGGCAACAGCTTTCTGGCAGCACAACTTTGGTCACGTCTGGAAAAAAACCTGTCTGCTCTTCCTTCACTGCTTCCATACTGGCGTGACGTGGACCACAGGGACCCCGAGGCCAGTCTGCTGTGAGACCCCTGCTGTAAGGAGCCAGGCCTGACGCAGACAGACTGCTACAAACAGCCAGATTCAGCAACACACTGCAAACAGGGCATACTTTGGGAACAGGGTAGTGTGGAGTCCCTGTCAAGTCTTGTGTCTCCTTCCTTGGTCTGTTGGAGAATAAAGGTGAGACCACTCAGGATGTGGGTTCGGGGTGGTTTCATGCTGCTGGTGCCAGTACACTGAACATCTGTGGGGATGAGCTGCTCTTTCTGTGGAAGTCCTGGAGGAAAATGAAAACTCAGCTGTGCTGTGACCAAGAGACAGAGGCTGCCTGAGGAGCTCCTGGCTGAGCTGAGCTTTAGAGACTATGCCTTGAATGTACTAGCCGTAAACACCAAGGAGCTGTAAAGAGACTGCAGCGTGGAGTTCATCAAGAGCCATTAACGTCAGTCCAGATTAATGTTCTTGGTTGTAACAGAGCAGTAAAAGCAGTTGAACTTTTGCACGGCTTTTGGTAGTGATGTGATGTAGTTCAGAGCAGGGGTTTTTAGCAGCAGCTTCTTGCATATAGGGACTGCATAGAGACAGATTTCAAAACTGCATGATTTTGGGCAGCATAAAGCTGGGGATGCACATGCCCAATTTGAGAGGCTCGGGTCTTAAAGAAACTATTGGAAAGGGTCGGTGTCCCTGCTGACAAAGCTGTGTTGTGTATCATTTGCCATCAAGTTAAGGAGACATTTCAAATGAGCTTTGGCCTTCATGTGTAATTTAACAACTGGCATAACAGATACTGCATACTAAGTACAGTTTTAGGCTGAGATAACACAAACTACCTTTACAAACTGAAAAAAAAAATAATAATGCCTGAAACCTCTATGAGATTCAACAAGTATGTTTGGGAAATAATTGGCCAGCCAGCTAAAAGAAGAAATGCTACTGGAGTATGGCTTAAAGACAAATCGCTGCAGCTAACCACCCCCAGTAATTGTGGGTTCTATTAACAGCTACACTGGCACAAAGCAGATGATGAGGCTACTGGTGACATATTTATTGTGCACTGGACGAGACAGCCTGATAAGAGAGCATCAAGGTGTCCTTTGTTGTCAGCACCACAAGGCTGCCTTTGCTACACTAAGTAACTCGGACAGGTTGGCCAGGACCTGTCACCACCTGTGTCATGGTTTTATAAGCTGGAGCATGAGTTGTTACTTTTCATGTGCCTAGACCAGAAGCCAGTTTGAGTTATGAATATTTATCACCATTAAACAGGCCTGTCCTTTCTGTAATAAATGGCTGCAGTAAATAGCAGCTCAACAGCAGAAGGGGTTCCCTGTGGCAGCTGTGCATCTTCCTGCGTTAGATGTTGGGAACAAACTGCAGGGACTGAGTTCAGAGTTTCTGGAATACAGCTCACATTCAGGGATGGAGTCTGAGGTTGCTGAGGCCTGCTCCAAATCCCTATTTTCCTGCTCCCAGCCACATAGCTCTGCCTGGTTTTCCTCTGGGAAGTAACAACTTTAATGCTGGAAACACATATCTACACTTTTAACTCAGGGGGTGACAGCTAATGAAGGACTGCACAGAAACAGCTCTTGTTTAACTGATTTTTTGTTTACTATAAAAAAAGAATTTAATTCCCAATATAATAAAAGAACTCCTCACACATGTATGTTGCACTGAATCAAAAAAAGAAAACCCAAACAAAAAAAACCCAAGCAAAGTTCAAAACCAGTATATAAAACACAATAACCAGTCAGATAGAAATACCGTAAGGCACACGTTCAAGTATTAGTGTAACACTATCCTTGGGGGGACTCCCAAAATCCCTTCAGCACAGATTCGGTTCCTTTCTCTCACATTTAAAAACAAAGGCTTTCTGAGCACAGGCTTGTAACAGTTAAAACATCTTCACATCAGTCACGTTTTATGTCAGTTTTATCAACAGATTATTATGGGAGAGAACAGACACAGAATCAGGCTGCTGCTTTACTATCACAGCAGCTGCTCTGACTGCACCATGTCAGTCCAGCTGCTGCTAAACCAAACCAAGGCTCACAGGCCCATCGCAGCTCACCTTACAGATCTCCAGGTGAGTCACAGGACACCATTAAATCACTGACTTCTCATCACACTGCGCTGCCTGTGTGGGAATCTGAATACATGAAGTCTTCTCCTTACGCTTGCCCTGTAAGTTTAACAAAGGTTTCTTTCTTTTGATTAAATTCACAAATTTTTTTTGTGAATTTATTGAGTTGTGAACAATTGTCCCTGCAATGGAGTGGATTTTTTCCCCTCAATTATTTAAGCAGTAGGAGCTTCCAAAGGCTGCACAGACCCTGAAAGCCGAGGCTCAGCTCTTCAAACATCTCAGCAATAGTGTTACCTATTTCAAAATAACACTGGGAGAAACATTTCTGCACCAAAACAACTGCTGTAAAAAGCTGGTTCAAATGGTCCTCATCCACAGAAATGACTTCTCCCCACGCACTTTCTCCTGCTGGACACCTGCAACACACGCACCTCAGCAGAGTGGGAACCTCCCAACCAAAGCCCTTCTCTGCAACAGAGACACGAAGACAAGACCTCACCGCCAGAGGCAAAACTGTTTCATGCTGGAGGAGCACTTCCATCTTTAACAGCCTCTGTGTAACCCTCCTGTTTATTTCAAAGCTGTGTATCTTAAGCTTCCTGATGCCAATAATGCATTTTCATTTAATGCTCCGAGATGGTTTTTATCCGATTCATGACTGTCATTCTGTTCTCTAGGCATCTCTTAAGGCTCTTGCTTACATGTACCTTAAACTGCTAAGTGATCTACTCTATACAGAACATACTGCAGTGTCTTCACTTTGTTTTTAAAAGCCCCTTAATTTTGTCTATCAGTGCTGTCAGACTACAAAATATTAAATTATAAAAAAGGCCGATATACACAATCCGATATCCAGCAGGACGTTCGGTTTTGCACCACAGGTTGAAGGAAATGTTAAAGGTCAAGGAAATAGAAAAATCCAAAAAGCTTCAAAACAAGCCAGTTCTAGTTTGGATTTTCCTTTTTAAAAGATATAATGCTCTAATAAATGTAATTTAAGGAAGGTCATACACATGACCAGCATCTGCAGTAGGTCACTTCCTTATTTCTCCCACTCCCTCACAAAAATATATATACATATATTTATATAAATGAAATGGTTTTAGATCCAAATGAACTCATTTTGCAGACACAAGTCAGACATGTGGAAGGCAGCAAGACACTAGCATTCTGTTTCTTTGCTGTCCACCCGGTTCTGACGCTGTAGTTTAAAGGACGAAGCTTTCTCACTCCTAACGACAGGATGGTCTGTCAAGTCCTCAAAAGATTTGGCAGCCGAGCTGCTATTTGGGAAAGGGTCCTTCTCAAACCCGTCCTCATCAATGTGAGAGTCGGTGCTTGGGTCCTCCTGAATGGTGTCCATTCTTTGGTGGTCCTGTTTTGGGGCTGCAGTGACAGCAGGCACAGCTGCGATGGGCTGCAGCGGCTGGTGCCGGCTGGTGGACTGCGTGGTGGGGAAGGGCTTGATGATTCGAACAGAAGCAGAGTCCAGGCTGCTGAGCATCTCCACATTCTGCAAGACACAAGCAGCCGTGTCACTGCGAAAACCAGCCAGGAAATGGTCCAGGGTTCAGGTTTCGCATAGCTTTCAAGAGGAACAAGCAACAGGCACCTTCTGAGGAGCACCCGCAGAGCACCAGCACTTAGAGCTGTTTAAAGGCTACTGCTTCCTCCCCTCTGTGCTGACTCAGGCTACCCTGTGCTAGCCAGGCTGAACCCACTGCCTCGCACTGGAAAAAGAGTTAGATTTTGGATTTTACAGTACATTTATGCTTACTAAATAGCAAGGGAACATCCAACAGAAGTTATTTGTAGTTTTCCTCCTCAAGAAATCCAGCTAGGCTGAGCACTAAAGGCACAAAGGCCCTTTTATCTCTGCTTGTTCCTTTTCCATATGAAGCACGACAAGTGACAGCCCCACTGATGACTCAGCCCTACCTCCCCTGGGGCCCAACACTGCTTTGGCAAAACCTAGAGCTGGAAACACAAGGTCGAGCCAGACAGCACCAAGAGCACAGTGCAGGGAAACAGCCAAAGGCGCAGCTTACACCACGCCTCCAACCTGAGGAGTTCCCTGTTTGATGTGCAAGAAGCTGTGCCGAAGGCAGGGTCAAGGATCTGTTCAACCCTCAGCAGATTCAGAAGACATGAGATTTGTTTGTTAAACTGTTGCTGGTGCAAGGGGCCTGTTAACTACACCCCTGCTCTGTTCCTACACCTCCTCTGGCATCTAAGGTGACTTTTCTCAGGGCATTCAAGACCAGCTATGGGGGACCTGCAACGAAGACTGCTTCAGTCGCATCAGCGCAGATGACAGAAGCAATCTGCTTTAGCCACCTGACGCCAGTATGTGTCCCCTGGTGCTTGCACAGAAACTCTGCAAGGCTTTCTTCCCCCTCCCATTACAAAATGACATTTCCTCAATTGAGTATTTCAGTTATTAGTAAGAATTGTCAAAGTCAAAGCACTGGACAGGACATGCAAAAATCTGTCAGAAGGTGCTCTGTGCTGGACTGTAATTACAATTTATCTAGGCACTTGTCTGCTCTTCTCTCCCAACTCAGTATCTACAAGGTGAGAAGTGTCACTGACAGGTCCCTGCACCCATAAGCAACTGCAAGGCTTTAGCACATCTGGCCACTAGAAGCTGACTCCTGTAAGCACCATTCTGCAAAGAACAGACACCACATTTTACAAAGATTTTTCTGCAGTGCCACCCGGCTGAGCCTCGTGAGTTGCTGACACCACTTGGCTGGGAACCACAGTCTGTGGTTGAAGCTGCCGAATGGCCCAGGCCACGGAGGGCACCTGCTGCACAAAGCGGTGCTCTGCAGAGCTGAGCAGCTTCCTGTGCTGGGAGCTGCGGCTGCTGCTGGAGAGCTGCTCTGTCAACAAGGTCAAGGCACAGGTCCAGCCCACCAAGCTGCAGTGCTTGACACACTGAACATGGGCTTGTTCAAGAAAACACCATTTCCCCTCAAGTTGATTCATCCACCTGCAGCGCGAGGCACAGGGCTCCAGGTCTGTCTACAATCACTTTGATAAATACTCTGCACACACCGTAGGTTCAAGGTTTTCTAGAAGATATTAGAGAGGTTTCTGCCAATTTGTATTCAGACAACAACTTACACTGGGGCAAAACAGAGACTTTGTGTTCTCCTCGTACTGCTTGTCCAGTTTCTTGTCCTAATGGAAAACAAACAAACAGAAGCAAACCAAAACACACACACACAAAATAAGGAAGTTGGTTTCCCAGTTGCAAGGTCCCTGCACGTTTCCCTGCAGGGACACAGCAGGGTGTGGGACTGTTTCCTGACCTCCCATGCCTTCCCATCCATCCCAGGGGTGCTTGTGGGGGCAGCAGCCCCTGCTCTAACCCCCACTGCTGTCAGCATCACCCCACGTGGCCATGCTCTCAGTTGCCATGAGCTCGCTCTCTGCCCATCCACCCAAGCTTAACCAAGACCACTTACTGCTCTGGATCTCCCCACAAAATGTGAGTGTCTTATTTCTTAGCAGAGCTTTAGAAGTCTTTGACTCTAATGGAAGTTACCAAAATTATACTTGGGTAGAATTCATGAGGCAGAGGAAGAAAATCTGCCTAGGAAAGAATGGGAAAGGGCTCCAGGGAACAGTCATGGAAGCACTGGGACTGCCAGAGCCTGGCAGAGCTCAGCAGCAGTTTTGCCTACTGAAGGATCTTACAACATGCTGCATCACCCCCCCTACAGAGTTTGCTAAAAGCTTCCCATCATCTCCCACAGACACCTGCCATTTCATATATGAAGGTTGTTCTCTTACAGCTCAATCCAACAGAGCAGTCATCTCAAAGACAGCTTACTCACCACGCAATGCACGAGGATGCTGAGAGGTATCCAAAAAAGTAAGGAGAAGACAAGCACAGAGCCCACTATATTATCTGCCAGGAACTTCCCTGTGAAAGCAGTTCAAATCTGTTAGTTACCTACCCAGTACCGTTTCATGACCATACATCTACCCCCATCCTGCAGCCACTGCTCATGCAAGCCAAATCACAGAATTGCTCAGAGAAGCACAGGCTGCAGGACTAGGCAAAGATAACAGATTACACCATTTTAGAAAATTGTATCCACTATGTTAACAATAATAGTTTTTTCCCCTCTGTTGTTCTCTAATGAGAAATACTGACAGGCCGTAACATTTGACATGAGTTGACTGGGAACAGCCTGTATAGAAACAGCCACTCTGCTGCTCTCAATTACACAAGACCCACTGTGAGTCTGTTACCAAATTCTGATTTTACAGTCAAGCAATAACTACTTGCCTGCACAAACAAAATATCTGAACATCAAAGACATACAAACTGTCCCTACCCACGCAGGCTAAATAGCTTTAACCATTACCTAAGAAACTATTTTTTGACACTACAACTACAGATTGAAAGCCCCAAACCCAGATAATTACACTGTGTAGGCACAGCATTACCGTGAGCACGTGGAGTTACCCAGTCATCACAGCACCAGCTTATTAACTGGTTTAATATTTAAACATTACACACACACACACTCCACACACACACACACACACATTACACACACTCTCACACTCACACACACACACATTACACACACTCTCACACTCACACACACTCTCACACACACTCACACACTACACACACTCGTCACACACACACACACTCGTCACACACACACACACTCGTCACACACACACACACTCCACACACACACTCCACACTCCACACACACACACACACTCCACACACTCACACACACATTACACACATTACACACACTCCACACACACACACATTACACACACTCCACACACACACACATTACACACACTCCACACACACACACATTACACACACTCCACACACACACACATTACACACACTCCACACACACACACATTACACACACTCCACACACACACACATTACACACACTCCACACACACACACATTACACACACTCCACACACACACACATTACACACACTCCACACACACACACATTACACACACTCCACACACACACACATTACACACACTCCACACACACACACATTACACACACTCCACACACACACACATTACACACACTCCACACGCACACACATTACACACACTCCACACACACATTACACACACCCCCACCC